CAGAAGTTTCCCAACCAACTTTTGCCAGCCCTATGGATACTGCACAGAGAGCCAGCACACACTGGTTTTCGTTGCATTCTGGTTTCCTGTCTTATCAGTTTTTTTCAGGTCATCAGTTGTCATAAGCCAATTATATTATAGGTCAATTAAAATAAAAATGGCAAGGTAATGAGGCAGATGCGGTGCTGTGGAGTTTTTTTTCAGTTTTGTTTTTCATGTCAGTAGACATGTAATTTAATTTTCAGAAAAATCTCAGCTGGAAAGGAGCTGATTAGGCATCTTGAGGAGCAGCCACCCTCTCTAAGCAGTGTTCATGAAGTTACTACAGGTATTCTTCTAAATGTGGAAGCTCCTAGACTGCCAAGAATAAACCACTTTGAAGAATACAGAATCCCTCAGATAACCATTCAAAAGCAGAACCCAGTCATTTAGACCTTCCATCACAGATCTGCCTTATCTGCCCTTTTTAAAAAGCGAAGTCAGAAATGTAATGGCTTTAATGCAGCAGTGGGAAATTTTGCTTTCATTTGTTCCTAAAATAAACTTCAAGAAATTCCATGAAAGAGATTTTTGTGATAACAGACATAAAACTCCAAAATATGTTCTATCTATGCAATTCCAGTGTCAAAAGGGGTGAGAAAGCAATATTTTTACATAAGTACTCTGAGCATCATGGTACTGCAAAATGTATCTGTGTACAAAGACAGCTGCAGCTATGAACTGTTGTTTGCACAGAAGGGCCTTGTGTTTTTTGTTTTTAAGCATTTGAATACTTGACATTGAAAATAACAAATGTCAGAAGTTAGCAGGTAGCCTGTTGAGTCAGCTTGTGATGTTCTGTGCTTGTGGAGCTGCTGGAGAGAGTCCAGCGCAGGGCTACGAGGATGACCAGGGGCCTGGAACATCTGCCCTATGAGGAGAGGCTGAGGTATCTAATCAGTGGCTGAGGATCTAATCAGTGTCTGTAAGTACCTCAAGGGAGGCAGTGAGGAGGATGGTGCTGGTCTCTTTTCACTGGTGGCCACCGACAGAACTAGAGGAAACGGCCACAAACTGAAGCACCAAAAGTTCCACAGGAACTTAAGGAAAAATTCCTTCCCAGTGAGGGTGCCAGAGCCCTGGAACAGGCTGCCCAGAGAGGTTGTGGAGTCTCCTTCTCTGGAGATCTCCAAACCCGCTTGGACGCAGTCCTGTGCCACGTGCTCTAGGTGACCCTGCGTGTGCAGGGGTTGGACTGGATGATCTCTAGAGGTCCCTTCCAACCTTAACGGTTCTGTGATTCTATGATTCTATGGCTTTGAGTGTTAGTTGCTGGACAGAGCTGTACCAGCTCCATTTCTGATCCACGTTACATGACTTGGGTGCGTTAAGCTTGTGGAAAGAAAAAAGGTTGTTTCCAGGAAGAAAAGGATAAAGACTACATTTTATTACCTCTTCATTGAACCTCATCACCTTCTTAAAAGCAGTTGTGTTTAGACTTAAATAGACATGGACAGGGGCACTGCGTAGCATTGTTTTAATCTGGTTTTTGTCATCAATTCTGTTCACTACTTGCTTTCATTCTGCTGTGAAAAGCTTACCTTGTCAAATTAGAGTTCTGCAAGAAAAGGAACTTAGTTACATGAGCATCATATTCAACTGTCTGAAGGACGAAGTCAAGATCAGAAGAGACTTAGTGATTAAACAACAAATAATATGTTCAAATAACATTAAGGGATGTTTACAATCTAACACCTAGGAATTTAGCTGCATGACTTAAATTTGTGTGCCAGAAGGCTTATGGGCAAAATCCTGTTCTTGTTGGGAACTTTATCAGAAATAGAAGGAGGATCTATTGAATTTTTTTCTTTTGTAGAAACATTAGCAGTTGGCATACATGTTTGGCCTTAAGTCTGTGATTTCTTTTGTCATCAGTGAAATCCAGAGGAGATCTTAGGGACAAAGTTCACCAGATTTTCCTAAGTTTGTCTTCACAGATATGAATAGAGTGCTTTCCAGTCATGCCTATGTGCTGCCCTGCTGAGCTTTGCATTGATTCATTGCTGTGCGAGTTGGTTGATCTGCAATATCTGTAACCAGTTCTGATTGTTTTTATTTTACTTGATTGTTTCCCCATATCTTTGTGTTCTATGGGAACTGCCCTGGACTTTTCAGAGCTTCAAACAGGAAATTGCCATTTCCCCTCTTTCCATCATCTCTACTTGCATTCAATGTGCAGCATCATTAAATCCATATAGGATCCATAGGATCAGATCAAAGTGACTCCTTTCGACCTTGTGAAGTATAAAAATGTTGAGTGTGATGCATTATTTTTAAATTGCCTGTTAAAATTTAAAAAGATTCCCAAATGTATTTAATAATTCTCAAAAGCAGTCTATGGACATCTGTTAAAGCGTTAAATTTCCTTAAAGATGGCACTGGTTGAAATTGCTTCAGCTGCACATTAAGGTTGTCAGTCAAAATGTTTTTACTGTAATAGTCTTTCATCTAGGATTTTTTAGCGTTTTTTCAGGAGTGAGCCAGGGAAGGATGCCTAGTGATCTGTTAGGGTTTGTTTTGCCATGTGTTTAGCCTCGTGAACAATCAGTCGATACGTTTTGCAAAACCTCCTAAGTCCTAGCGAGTAACTGGGTGCTTAGTGAGGAAACAAACTGTTTTGACATATTTTTTCCCTTTTCAAAGGTAGCTGTGGCAGCCTTTTGTGTGTCTGTGAACATTTGCATTAGTGTTTGGCCATTAGGCTTATTAATGAAGGGCTGGAGTAACAGGCAGAATTTAGTGTTTACTAGATGGGATTTTCTACATGGGTATGGCGAACTTGTAGTGAGGTGGAAATGGATAACTAGCCTAACCAGGCCATAAACTGCCCCAGAGCTGTAACTGAAGCCCAGTGCAGAGTGGAGTGCTCAGCACATGGTCTGCCAGGAAATCATGTAGAAGGCGGAAAATTTCATCCCACCCCCACTGGTGTCTCTGCCTGAGTCTCTCCAGCAGCCCGATCAACGTAACAGTGGGAAAAAAACAATAATGTAAAATTAGAATTGGAAGGGAGGTGAACGCTGAGGGCGTTAGCAAAGTTGCATAGGAATTTTATGAGCGGCAGTGACTGAAGGACGTGCTATGGGATGGTTAGGTTATGTGGACTGGTAACACCACGTCATACTGAAGTTGGCCAACAGCCCTTGTGAAGTGGGCAAAGTTATAACGGTTGTGTCTGGGCACGAAGATCAAACCAACACCAACATCGGAGAAAGGTGTGGGAATACTGGTGATGGAGGGGAGAAGAACAGAGAAAAAGATTTCACAGCACCTGGGAAAGTGAAATATGTAGGAGTAATCAGTGATTGGCAATATCAGATGAATTTTGTTTTAAACGTAATTCCAGAAGAGTTCCTGAACATTTCAGAGAGGAAGAGGTAAACAAACAGAAAAAGACTAGATTCCCAAATCCAAAAGAATACCTAATCCTGGTTTTGTTTCACTTTAGTTTTCTTTGCATCAAGTCCAAGAATGAAATGTGTTTCATGTCTTTAATATGATTTTCCTAGAAAGAATCAGAACTGGATTGCGGCATATTATACTATTATAAATATGGATATGTCTCATACAGTATTATAATTAGTCAGAGTGGATTATTTATTGCATGGTGCCAGTATTCTGACTCCAGATCTGTTGACTTATATGATAGCTTGTTGATAATATGAGAATATTACTGTACATAATTATTTTTATTGTGGTGATGATGCCATATTGATCTAAATTTTCATTTACTCTAGTGCATCAGAATAATTAATTTTGTAATCTGATAGCAGGAAGTAGTCACAAAAGTGAAACATTTCCCCTTTCCAGTAATCACTTCTAACTTAAGATATGTTTTAAGATTTTTTTCCTTTTTTTGTGTGTGATTGAATGAAGCTGGCAGCATCACTAAGCCTGTAATGCTATGTGCGAGGTGTCTCTTTTACTACCTTTGTAAACAGAAGATGATAGATACCAAATCTACAGAATTTTCAGCAAAAGGGATTTTTTTTTGCAGCTCTTCTTCATTTCTTAATGGAATAAGAATTATGGAAATGAGAACAGGCATTGCATTAAGTGCTTGAAATGTTCTTTCCCTGCAGACCAATAAAAACATAATTCTTCCATTAGGGAAATTCAGATTTTTTTAAAAGCTGTATGAATAAGAGCTCTGAATCAATGAATGAGATGACTCTGCTGGGGTAAATGTTTCAGCGTTTGATTATGTATTTTAAGACTTTTGTAGTTTGCTCCCACCTCTTGGCTTGTCTTGTAAAACTTCTGTAGTGCAACTTTTTCTGCAACTCTTTTTAGATTAATTGCTTGGCTTATCTTGTGGTAAAGTATCATCTTTTATTATAGATCAGTTATGTAGTTCATAAACCATCTAGACATGTAGATTTAACTTCCTTCCTTAACCTGGAGCAGAAGACTTCCTAGCCCTTTCAAAAGTTAACCCATAAAGGTGGATTACCTGAAAAGGATGATGCCAGGGTGATTCCTGTATTTTAATTGCTGCTCTAGCTTTTGTTTCTCAGAGCTATATTTTAAATATATCAATGGGTAGAAATCTGTGTGACAAAATGGGGAGTGGGGAAGACTTGATGTCTTGTGGATCTCTGTGGAGCCTGATGGGATGGGTCTGGCCTAAGGTGGTGCACACTGGCATCCCAGTTTGGATGGTGGCTGTGGTATGTGCCAGATGGTTCACTGAGAAGTATGCTGAGATGAAAAGCACTTCCTCCGTGTTTACAAGGTGTTCTTGTTTGCCTGTATTGGTGTATTGGAACCTGTATTTGTAGCCTGCTCCTTCCAGACAGGCTCATTTCTGCTCTGGATTACATCAATAACGTGCAGGGAGTAGATAAGCAAAAATCAACACATAATGGCACAAAGCTCGTAGTCTCCTGCGACAGGTTTCTCACACGTATGGCTGTCATACATCCTGACACCCTTCTCATGGTCTTGTGTTCTTGTTCCAGGGCAATCCACTGTACTTCCAGTCTGCCAGAAACGTTACAGTGAACATCCTCAATGACAAGACTAAGGTCCTGACTCGTCTTGTAACAGGTAAGGAGGAGAAAAGACCGTGGGAAAGAATTAAGGAGACATGAAAGACAGTGATATATGGGGTGCTGTGCAAGCTTGAGACAGCACACAGAGGAGATCCCAGATGTCTGTAGAAGTACAAATGAAAACTTCACTCCACTTGGTCGAAACAAAGCAAGGTGCATGAAAGCCACACTCCAGAGGCAGACACTGTACTTTAGAGCTTTCTAAGCCCAGAGTCCTTTTGCTGATAAAGAACTCTCTCATTCTCCCAAGCGTTAGTGTGTTTGATGGGAAAATTGGTGTTTCATAAATCCCCAGTGCACGGAGACCTTTGAATTAATGCATTCGTAATTTGAGTTGAAAGGGCCTAATGCATTATATATGTTAATATATAATGTATGTATATGAACTTTGATATATATTTATTTATTTAGGTTTACGTGGGAACTGTGAGCAGTACTGCTATGTGGATAAGCTAGTAATCCATAAACATGTTGTTTCTATATGAGACTGGGTTGCCTGTCTTGCTTATATAACATCTTGGCCTCTAGTCACAGTGTTAAATAATTAAATATGCAGCTTCAGTAAGCACAATTTAAGCGGCATGCATGAAGATTGCCTTGAGGAAGGAAATAAATTCAACCCCAAGCACCCAGATTCTCACATTCAAATTTTTTTTTGTTTAAGTGCCTCCATTTCATGAGAGCTTGAGACAACTTAGTCTGTGGAAAAAATAACAGCACTGTATTGTGTGCACACACATGATTATATAAAGCATGTTCAGGATGAAGCACAGCCCAAGGCAGTAGTGAGATGACAAATGGCACAGCAAGTGAGTTGCTAGTGCTTTAGACCTAAATAAAGGACTTCAGGTCTCATTTTTGGAGAAGACTATATCTTTCCTGTTTTCCAGCTGCCTGTTTTGGGATTACAGGATTTCATTTAGGATACAGTTGCCTGTAGCATGAGTGCCCAGCTGTGCTTCCCCAGAGCCATGAAAATTGTCATAAGTGCCTATTGCCTTTATTGCACTGATAAATTATGTGACATCACATAGTAAAATGGGGCAATCTTCCCTAAGAAAGAAAAAGATGACAAAACATAATGATGTCACTAATGAATGTAGTAATCCCCTGTTCACCTTTCGTCCTGCTTCTTTGTAAGCGCCTCAGACAAATAGAAAGTAAAATAGATTCCCAGGTGCATGGTCAGCACTGCAGAGTGGGAAGATGAGCTCTCCAGCCCAAGAGAAAACTCCCTGAGGGAAACCTTCCTCTTCCGCAACACCTAGTCATTCCAGGTCCAATGTATTCACGGGTAATGGATAGCTTATTTTCATCTCTGCCTCTCTAGTGTTAAAACCCATGCTAAAAACTGTCTGTTTGTGTCTGCATAACATCATTGTTATTAAGCTCACTTTTGCATTCTGCAGCAGCTGTGGTTTTGGAGTGGAGTTCAGATGTAGTCCCAAGTAGAGTATACTGCAGTGGTGAGCAGGGAGGCAGTTAATTAACAAGATATAGATCAAACTTAAAAGTGTGGGATTTTCTTGGAATGGCTGCAGGATATTTAGGTGTTTAGCAGAATTAAGCATACAGAGGTCTCAGAATAGCCTTATTTTTCTGTAATTCAAACCATACACACAATTCTGCCCGGGCCCTAATGGTAATGCAGTTGACCTGTGCAGGGAAATACTGAGTGTAGAGTTAGAAACTGCCTGTAAGAAAATGCTGACTTTCATGTCCCATTTCTCTCACCTTTTGAGAAATGAGACTAGTCAGGAAGATGACAGGAATAACGTTAAGTCCAATCACCTTTCTCATGTGGTAGCATATTCCAGGGAGGCTTTGGTTTGGAATAGGCTACATATGTCTGTTGCATGGTGATTTGTATGAAGTTTAGGCTAGATCAGGTAACAGAAGAACCCACTCTTTGTAGCCTCAGAACCACAGACCTGACAGAATTGCCATCCAGGCAGCTAATGATTATCAGGCTTTGCAACAAAATGTATTGCCAGAGGCTTTTCAACACTGGACTACTGAACAACCTGCAGGAGAAGCATAGAATTAAAATAAGAGCTAAGAAGGAGAGGTTTCCTTGATTAAAAACATTATGAAACATGAGAGACCTTGCCGTTGGCGTGTGCAGGAAAGAGGCCCATTCCCCTGTGGTGGGGAAACTTTTATCAGTGCCAAGATGAAAACCTTCAGCATTTTCCAGGGATTTCCTTCCTGGTGATGTAGGATGAGGCTTTTAAACTTGCAGTTTGGATGTAAACACTGCACCGTAAACACTAGCAAAATATGTTTAGGAAGTGGTCTGAATTCCTTTTACAGCTGTGCTAGTACTCTGAAGGCACGATGATGCGTTCACTGTTATTTCACATGTGGGTCTTTCTTTTTATCAAAAAAAATCCATAAATATACAAAATTTAATGGTAAGGTAACAGCATACCTAAGTAAGTGTTAACAAAAATATAAGTAAAAATAGTTGAGGTGTTATTTGGGTAGGAAATACTGTCCTTTCTGAAGCAGAGATCACCCTTGAGGTGTACAGACCTCCCTGTTTGATGTGTCAGATGTAGGTTTTATCTGCACACTTATTGGACAGGATAATCTCTGCAGATGGGCTTATTAAATATACAAAGATACTTTGTGATTTTCATATACTTTTCACTAAGACTTTGTGCTAATCTCTTCTTCTCTCTAGGTCCCCAAGCAGTGGAAGCACACAGCCAAAAATTTGAGGTGAAAACCCTCTCTGGGAAATTGCTGTTTTCTGCAGATGACAACGAAGTGGTAGTTGGAGCAGAGAGGCTGAGAGTTTTAGGTAACTAAATCACTATTTTAATATGTCTCGTCAAATTTTAGAATAATTTTTGTCCAACTTTCCGTTGTGCTTATGGAAAAAATCTTTTGGTAGTAAAGCCCTTCATTGTCTTTATTGCTTTGATTCTTCTCCAAACAGTTAAGGCCAAGAATTTCTATCTAAGGGTTTTCTTAGCCTGCACTACATGTTATTTCCCCTGCAGAGAAAACTGCTCTAGAAATGGTTTGTCTAGCTCATAAAGCAGCATTAAAAACAGCTTTGGAAACTAAACTGCTTCATCACATGGTTCTGGGATGAAGGGCAGTGACAGATCACTCTAAGGGTGCTCCTATGGCTGCACATGTAGAGAAATCTTAGGGAAATATTAGGCTTCATAATTTTCATCTCAGCTCTTTCATGAGCTCTACTTTAATTCTAAAGTGAACACCTAGGAGGAGAACTGCAATGAAAAGTCAGTATGAACACATTAATTCTCTGGGCAGTTGGGTGGCCTTTATATCAGCTAATCTCTCCGTAGCCACATGTGAGAACATGCTTGGCATCTCTTGAGCCATGTCCAGCTGTTCTGTAGGTATTATCAGTGCCACTGCCACCACTCCCTGTCTTCCTTTAAAGGCAGATGGGGGCCTGGAGCTTTCCTGTGACACAGACCATTAAAGGAATTGTAGTGTCTTTCCTAATTGCATGAAGTTACCTCTTAGCGGCTCTAATTCTCTTGCTCTCCAATTCAATCCAGTCTCTGTGTTTATTTTAAGCTTAGCTTGTGAATGTTTTCATGTAGGACTAGACTGAGTAGCGCTATATTGTTAATATTTAATCACATAACAGTACCAGTGGTCTCAGTGGATGTACTGATGCCTCTCTTCCAGCCGCTTGATTTGGATGCCCCTATTTGTTCCAAATGGCCCTTACTTTTCCAGTAAACACCTAAAAACAGAAGTAAATGAAAGAGTTGAGAAGAATATATTATTATTATATATAGTGTATTATATATCATATATACTCTCTTTTATATTGTAAATAACATTAATACAAATAATATTACACATATATGCAATATTTTATAGTATACATGTAGTATGTAGCTTATTTTTATAATATATGACATAAAGTAGCTCAGAATTAGGGCCTCAGAATCTAATCCATCATGAATGGGACTTCAAATTCAGCCCTTAATACTTTTTGTTACCTGATGTCTTGTTTGTAGTGAGACCAACTGTAGCTCTTTTAAGTGGCCAGTTGATGTTGACATATCCTGGACAAGTTCAGTCATCGCCTATACTAAAGTTAGGGAGTTCTATAGGATAAATGTTGGACTCCACAAAATTAACAGCATCTCTTTTATTAGAAAACTTTGAAAGGGACCGTTCAAAATACATGCACTGTTTCAGAGCTGAGGAGCGTTTGTCGCTACAAATCTCCCTTCACACTGCACTTTCAGAGTGATTTAACTATCTATTGTCTTTATAGGGCAGGTGATTTCAGGAGTCAAGGATTTTAGATGTTTTCCAGGAGACCTTAAATGAGAAATTTTTAGATCACTTGTTTTTTCATAAAATACAGAAACATTTTTTTTCCAAGTTGTAGGTACTCCTTTTAGGATTGCATACAAAAATATTGCATGTTATTTACATTGTGCTTTGGAGAAACTAGCAATTATTTTTGATAGTTATTTTGAGATTCTGCTTTTTTTTAGTCTCCTGTGTAAATGCCCTGGAAATACTACTTACCACAAGTAGTGCACCTTTGTTTTTATTTGCAGTTGAGTGTTTCTCAGGGTTTATCAGGCTTATGCAGAACTATCAGAAAAGTCACAATGTTATCACAGATGATCTTATGTGGCAAATATTTAAACGACCTTGAGCTGAAATGCTTCCAGAGTTCATGCTTGGCTATGTTTTTTCAAGCTTTGCTCCCCCAATCTAATTATATCTCCAAAAGTAGTTGCCATGGCTGTTTGCCATGCTGGGAAGTGTGATGCCATATGTTCCTTTCAGGTTTTGTTTTCGTCTGTGCTTGAGGCTAGTCCAGCTTGTAGTGCACAGGCAAATTCTTTTGATCATTTTTCCTGTACTTGGGATCTCAGGTGCTGCTGGTACGTGTCTGCTAACACCTATCTGTGCTATGTTAAATAATCTCAACTTGTTCTTGTTATTGCTGAACACGTACTTGTTACTGAAGGAAGTGTATGTCTACAATCTGGCATGAAAGTAATATTACGTAAGTTAGAGCAGTAGATATTGGCTAGCTTTTAATCTTGTTAATGGTAATTGCTGTACACTCTTCAAAGTTGAATTTGAAAGTTGGTTCTACAAAGTAATGTTGAATCCTTCATATGAGAAAATATCTGCTTTCTTTTTTGAAATGCATTCTATGCTTTGTGCAGCTAAAGGCTTTTCCAGCATTAGGAAGGTATTTTTAAAAAAAAGGGGCAGGGGAAGGTGCACTGAATTATGAAACTGAAAAAATGGGTGCAGGTATGTTGCATTTAGTAGGGCTTCAAAAATTACACTGCCTATGTTCTGCGGATTACAGAATGAATATATGTTTTATTTCAATTGTATTTTAAGAGTCTGGTTCTGGTTTTTAACCACTAAAGGACAAAAAAAGATTGAGTTGTTCCTTTCTGCTTTTCATGCGTTGTGTAATGTGGAGTACTTCTGTGATTTTATTTGATTTAACGAATTCCATCAAGCTTAGACCTCTGAAGCAGGGCAGCGCTTTCTCCTGTTGCTGCCCTTGCGCCAGGCTCCTGCGTTACTACCATAAACCTTGAACTGTTTCCCTTTCCTCTGAACTGGGGCTCCTTTAGTTTGCTGGGACTCGATTTTCAAGGCCACCTTTTCTCCCCCTGACGAGCCCGGCCTGGCAGAGCTGTTCCGTGTGGCCCGGAGCACCGGAGCCAGCGTTCCCAGCACTTCCCTGCGCACTGTATGTTGGCAAACCCCAAGTGGATGCAAACTCATGCCTAGCGGGATACCCCCCACACGCTCATAAACTCATGTGTGCTGCCTTGTGGGAGAAGAGCGAACTGGTCTTCGTTGAATTCGCGTATTGCACATTATAGAGCAGATCCCCTTCCCCACCTCCTTCCAGGAATAAAACATGTCCCGATCATCTGAGAAATGGTGTATAAGAAATAATCCTTAGTTAAAAGAGCATTAAAAATAACTTTGATATACATTGATTACCAATCTTATTTAATGGCATGTTGAATGTTGCAACATTTATAAACAAAGGACAATCATAAAGCTTTATTCTGACTGTTAATTACTTCTATTTATTCTCCAGATTAGTTTTTAAATATGCCCTCTAGATGCTACTTGATACTAATTAGAGGAGTTATATTATTGTCTCTATACAAAAGCGTTTTTAATTAAATCTAAAGCAATTTAAATTAGCATGAATTTTTACAGCAATTAAACTCTGGTCAGATGCTTAATACAGCCCTATAAGACAACATCTGATCACATGCCAGTGTCAGTTCTCCCAAGAGCCTTGACATCTCTTTGGAGATTATATTTTGAAGCTAGTTTTCAGGGAAACTTGCCAGAATACTCTGGAAATTAATATTTATGGTGGATTTATGAACTTTTTTTTTAAGATTAAATATTGGTGAGAATCCAGATGCATCACAATGAGCTAAGATTTAAAAAGAGAAAGGAAAAAAAAAGATGTATTTCTATAGCTTCCAAGAATTCCCTGTTTTTTGAATAGTAGAGGAAAGTTTTTGTGGGAGTTACGATTGGATGGACTGGAGGTTGTAAGCTCAGTCATACTCCTTACCCACTCTTATGATTGCCACCTTTCTGAAAGACCACAAGGCGTCTTTTCTATAATACGAGGATACAGGGATTTATTCCTAGTAAATGGCTCCCACGCTGGACTGAGTCCTTGGAAAATGTGGCTCTCACTTCGGCATATGTAGCATCAGTTCTTCTTTTGATATGACCTTAGGACTTGGCTAAAGCTTTTCTCTGTTGCAAAGCCTAGCTAATGCAGTGGTATTTAGAGGGTGATAGGATGGCTTTCATCTTCCAGTACAAAGGCTACAGTAGCTATTTTGGAAGTGGTTTTTGTTCTGGTTTCTCTTCAGGAAGGTGCCTGGGAATGCACCTCAAAAGAGGAGTCAGCTGTTGAAATGTTACTGCAAATTTATTATTAAGTTTGGAGAAATTAATTTCTAGGCATATTTCTAGCATTTTGTTTAGGAAAGAAATATAGTAAGGCCTATGAAGTTTTTAGGAACAACACCAATTAAAGCAACATAGTCCAAGGTTATAATTGAAGAGATAACCTCATAACTGATTAGTACAAAGACCTTTTTAAAAAAGTTTGGATTTTCAGTAGTTCTTGGTTGTTATCGTTGTTTCTTTAATATGTTCTGTATTTGCTACAGCTTTAGTTCACAAGTGCAAGATGTCACTACCCATGGAAGGGTGAGAAAAGTGTTTGCAGTGCCCTCAGCACTGACTCTGGGCAGGTAAAAGAGCTAATACATCTTTGTAAGCTGTACCAGCTTCTCAAAAACCTCATATCCACAAGCATTTTCAGTGAGCCTTCTGTTCACCTGATTTGGAAGGAATAAAAGAAACGTGGAAGTTTCAACCTGAAAATGAAGTTTCAATACCGGCCTGGTTAACCTACTCTGTTCACATTTCCTTAACGTTGCAATTTTAGAAGATTTCTTGGCATGTCATTTTTATCTTGTTTTGGCTGAAATATTCACAGCAGAGTAACTTTAATGAGTGTAAGACTAGTTGTAGTTAATGGAAATAACACAGACCTGTTCTATTTGACTAGAACAGACCATTTTAGAAGGTGGTATAATCCAGAAATAATAATAAAAAAAAAACTTCCAGGAATTGCTGCCCATATTTGTTGCATGTATCCTTCCTCAAAAGCTATTATTTATGGTCAGAGACATGCACACTTGCCCTTTACAGCAGCCGTTACAGCTCCAAAATGGCACTTTGCTGATTTGTGTATGGCAGCCTGCA